TGCTGAGTACTCTACAGGCTGCAATCTGGGCGTTTTTGGCTAGTGATGGATTTGTTGAAGGCGCGAGGCTGGTCGTGAACTTGGGAGACGATGCTGATACTGTCGGTGCTGTTTATGGAGGATTGGCTGGGGCGTGGTATGGTGGCGTGGAGTCCGATAGGGAGAGGAGGCAGTGGTGGAAAGACGAGACGGTGACGGAGTGGAGACGAGGATTGCAGATGGCGAAAGAGATTGTGACGATAGCGGAGGATATTGCGAAGGTGGATGGGAGTTTGAGGTCGAATTGATCTGTAAATAGAATTAAGCGTATAGGAAATTGGGAAGACTTTTCAGTTTGAACGCCGAATTGGATTCAATAGGTAACAGACAAACAAACAGTAACTAAAGACATAAGGAAAATGCAGAGAAATACACAGGCGTAAGGAATATATACTATCAGCAGGCACAATAACTCCTGCTGCCATGCTTACACAACATCACATCACGCCCCAACGCCCACCCTCCCCAATTCTACCCATTTAATCTGACTCATCCTTCTTCCTCTTCTTCTTCTTCTCCTTATCACCCTTCTCTTTCTTTTCCTTCTTTTCCTTCTTCTTCTCCTTGTCCTCACCGGCTTCTGATTTTCTCCGTTTCTCCTTCTTAGACTTCTTCTCCTCCTTCTCTGCCTTCCTCTTCTTCTTTGACGATTCTTCCGCATCCTCCTTCTCCTCGCTCTCTCCATCAATGTCCATAGCGATTGCTGAGCCAAGGGCCTGCTCGACGGGCGCATCGGTCATTACTGTATCAGCATCCGCATTATAGTTCTTGGTCTCCTTCAATGCAGCCTTGCCAGGTCTGCCAACACCAGTCTGAATATAGCGCTCCTCCTTAGGCAATGGCGGGCGGCCCTCAAGATGTCGAAGACGGGCCTCAACCTTGCGGCGGTACTCGGCACCCAAAGCACCCTCAGACTCGCCCTCAGGCTTGTCCTCGTTGTAGGCATCATAACGTGTACCAAGAGAAGCCTTGGCAGCGAGCATGCGGGAGATCTTGCCCTTGGCCTTACCAGCCTGGCCAACAAGCGAGGCGTGGTAAATGAGACCATACTTCGGTGTGTTATGCTTGGTCTTGAGCGCGCGGAAGAGGGCCTTCTCGGCACCGAGGATCTGGAGGGTAGAAGCGGGGGCCTTGGAAAGAGAGATGAGGGAACCTGCGTGAGCGATGAGGCGGGCGCCGACAAGCTCACCAACAAGGGCAGTCAAGTTAGGAGCAATCGCGTTCATACGCGCAGAGAGGTATCCGCTGAGTTGCTGACGGTACTCGGCGAAGGAAATAACCTGCTCAGCAAGAGCCTTGATGTTGGAAAGATCAATCTCGGTGATTTCAGTTCCCATGGAGACCTCAGCAGCGGCCTTAAGAGCAGTCTCGAGCTCCTCGGGAAGGACCTCAGAGAAGTCGGTGTTGGCGGCATTGGTACGCATGCCCATGGTCAAGATACACCGGGCGTAGGCCATGTTGTCGTTGATGATCTTTTGCATTTCCGGGAAGTGCCAGCCATACCATTCCTTCACACGCATGGCATAGGTGTTGAGTTCCTTGTCAAGATCATCGAGAAGGGCAATAGCCTGAACAATCATGGTATCGACCTTGTCGGCAGAGAACTTGAGCTTATGCCGGGAGAGGGAGTGCGACAGACCAAGGGACATTGTCGACAGATCGGTGGGAGTAAGACCGGGGATGAGCGAAGTGAGGTGCTCCCTGATGCCACGGTACAAATCTTGTGTGGTAGAGTCGGAGATGATGCTGAGCTGGAGGCCGGGAAGCTTGTTGATGGCGTTTCCTGAAGAGTCAGTCAGAACCGAGTGCAGAACCATCGAGGACACGACATACCAAGCTTCGGGTCCGCAACCACAAGAGACGACTTCTTCTCATCCTTGAGACCCTCAAGCATGTTTGCCAACATGGGCGACACCCGGGACTCGACAATGGCGGAAGCCTCCTCCACGGCCTGTTGGGCGCTGTCAAACTTTGCGAACTGCTTCAACTTAAGCCTGAAGACCACACAGTCGTCAGTAACCCATAATCCATTGACCACCGTCGCCTCTTCTCCGGGTATTCTCACAATCCAGCGGCGCCCTCGGCCGTCTTCAGATCGCTCGACAAATCATCCTTCTTAAGGAGCTTCTTGTCCTTCGCCTTGAAGAGCGCATAGCCGGCGCTCGTTTCGGTGAGAATGAGCATAGTCATCTTGACTTCTTCCTCTGGTGGAACCGAACGTAGGGACGGGGTTCGATCGGTATTCTCGGAGTGCCTGAATCGGGACACCAGGAAGGATTGAGTACTGGCGGGGAAGTCTGGGTGGTGGGTGTGCTGGCTGGCCGCGAAAAGAAAACTTTCAGCAGAGCCGCCAAGCAGCGAACATGGATGCGCATCCTTCCATCACCCACGCACAGCGCATCACCCCTCCACCACCGATCACCCACTTTAAGTTCTGCCGGGTAAATTTCAGCAGATGTTCATCTCCCCGACCCCAGACCCCAAGCCCTAGGCCCTCTCTTCAACGGTCAGCCGCATGTCACAGCGAAATCTTCGCTTCTGCGCCTCTCTTAAAGTTTCAGCCAGATCACGACACAACAGTGCACAGCCTCTCCCTCCGCCTCTCCCTCCGCCTCTCGATGGCCGCCTCGGTTCACTCTTACCAATGGTACATTCCTCCTATTTCACGCTGCACAGCCGGCGGAAGCAACAGATCTTCATGATGAGAACAAAGAATGCATATCACAGACCTGTTCTGAACACACAATGTGGATAACTTTCTTGGAGACCTTCTGACTGAGATCTGATCGCTTCTGTGTGGTGGTTGATCATTTTGTGGCTCGAACGACTTTGCTGACGTTTGTCCATCAGATTCTCTACGATATTTTTTCCCCATAGCATAGTTTTCCAATATGAATAATACAGTTGTATTTCTTCATCTCTGAGTTCATTTGGGTTCGTGTGAATCTGTGATCAACTGTCAACATCTGGATCTTTGGTGCCCGTGCCAGTGAATCATCCATCCATCTTGTGCGCCTTCGCAACTGTAAACCCGATCAGCCCGATACCAGTGCACAGCCGTACAAATACAATCTCGGTCAGGCTGACCATGAATCCTCTCCGATCCCTCACCACCACGGCCCCTCCGCTCCTCCCAATCGCGATCGCCATCCCTATCCAAGCCAACCTATTGCCCCATCGCTCCAGCATCCGAACCTAATCCTCTCACCATATTCTATGCTAGTCTGTGCACTCACCTCATCATCCACTCCAATGCGATTGATTGATTGATTGATTGTAATCATTTAAGCGCATGCGTCCCGTTGGGATATGGCGCGAGCTACATACAAAAACGTCCCCTTTCCACAGTGTTCTACTGCTTACTTCCAGGCTCTATTTCATCCGTTTTCAACCATTTCCTCGCCGGCCTTGCTGCCTTTGCAGTG